CGAAAATTTATGAGTGACAATTTAATAAAATATGTAATGAAATCATTTTAAAACAATCTCAATTATTGCATAACATTTTTTCTTTTCAAATGAAACCTGTTTGTGATTTTGAAACCTGAAACAAAATGGACATATAGTTCTTTGACTATTCAATGAAACAACAGTCAATTATCAAAAACAACTTAGATTGGAAACTGCCAATGTCAAAAAGTTAATATAGCTGCTGAGAAGACAATATACAGCTATTAAGTCCATCTAATCAACGTCAATAAGTTATTTTCCAAGTCTTTAGAGTGTTAAAAATTAACAAACAACCAAAAGCTGTTCCAGAATGTATGCCAAATATAGAAATGGCTCTTTGTGAAGACAGCCAATATAGATTGATTTTACAGTTCCAAAAATATATAGGGCAAGATTATTTTAATACTAGTGAATATTGCCAAAATAAGTGAAGTTCTTTAAGTTAATGAACAATGTATACAATCATTCAGTTTTTGATAGCTTAACAGGATACAATATATAATATCATGTGAGAACTTGGCACTATTTATAAAATTGGCACTATGTGTAAGATAACTTTAGAACTTTGTAATCATAAAATATCTTTACAGAATGAACTGCAAATATTGGTAGTTAAAATTAATACAAAACAGTGTTACTGGCACATTTATGATGCTACCAGGAAATTGATGATGCTGTTTTGCAACAAACCATGAAAACAAAAAGATCTGAAATTATTAATATAGATTATTTTGAGCCTAGAAGAAAAACTAAAAGTATGTAACAAAATGTAACAGAAACTGATCAAATAAGTTCAAGTCCACACAATATACTCACAAAGTTCATTGTTATTAACAGATTGGTACTATATAATTCAGGCTCCTTTAATACATCATTAACAAAAATTGTGAAACTTATCTTTAATGTTAATCATGTTATGTTCTTGCACTTTCCAGAATAAGTTGTAGAATATGTATTGAAAAATAATAAAGTATTCTTTGTACAATCCAAATTGACATTTACTATGTTCATCTCTTTGTCTTGCAACTTGAAGATATAAGTCCTTAAAAAGTCTTTTAAACATTATCTTAGAGATAAAAAACAATGTCTAGACTTCAATAGCACAATAATTCCAGCAGCAATGAAGTAAATTTTTCAAGGAATCAATTAATAAATCATTGGATAGATGTATTATCATCAACAGAAATTTTGTTTAGTTATCATTGTTTGTCCACAAACATTATCAAACAGATTTCAATTGAATATTTAATTTCTATAAAATTTCAAAAAATTTTTATATGGAAATGGAAATTCCATATTAATATATTTCTGTATATAAAAAAAATAATTCATTTTAGTTGCCAATGAAAAATATAATAATATTGTGCAAATGAAAAGTAATGAGATTTTACTAAATTTAGCAGTTAAAATTTAAAAAAAAAATTAACATGGAAAATAACAAATTTATATCAAGAACAAATAAAAAAAAATATGATATAAAGAATTATAATGTTACATTTACTGATAAATAGCAGAAATAAACAAAAGACAATTAAAAGTAACATACTACATAATATTAAAACCAGGCTAACTATTCTGATTAACTAATTTCCTATTCATTAAATAATTTATTAGAATTTTTAAATTACATTTCAATACTTGCACTTAAAAAATTTTAACAAATATTTTTGTAAATAATTTTATTTTATATTGAATTAGTTAAATATTTTTAATAATTTTCTATATTTTTTATAATAAATTGTTAAAAGATATTTTATATATTTTTTAAAGAAACACTAAAGACCCAATTTGTTATTAACTACATTAATTATTTTATTGTTTTAAATAAGTAAATTTATTGCTATAATTTATATTTAAAAAACCTAGAATTCATTTATTTTGTATTTATTTTGTTAATATTGCATATAAAGACAAAGAATGAATAATATATTTTTTAATTAAATTAAATAAATGACTTACATAAGTATTTTCTCTCTTAAGAAAATATATTCAATATTAATAAATTTATATGACTTTGATTAAAAGAAAAAACTGAACATAAATAATAAATATAATAATAAATAAAAATTGTATTTAATTTGTAAAAAGAAAAATGTATATATTTGCAAAAATGTCATATAGCCGAAAGACTTTGTTCGAGTTTAGCTTGAGAAATCTGTTAACTTTATGCTAGGAAAGCACACAAAGAATAAAGACAGAAACTAATATATGTAGGAACTTCCTAAACTTTTCATATTCAAATGTAAACTATTAAGAACTAACCAGCAGTCTTAATAATGATGATTATTACACTGTATAAAATACAAAAATAGATGATCATTTGAAAATACATTATTGTTTTTCTTGACAAGAAATGCAATTATAAATAAATTTTAAAAAATATAATGCATATTATATGAATAAAAATCCTGTGAGCACTGTTAGAAATTTAATTAAAAGAAATAACTTTTATAATTCATTTTAAAAAGACATATTTTGGAAATATATTTCTTTAAATTACAATTCTTAGTAAAATTGATTTTTATTTAAATTTAGAAATTATTATATTTAGTTGTGTTTATTTTAGATTTAAGCCATTTGAAAATAAATAATTATTAAAAACTTTTTTCTCAAATCTAATTTTAAATTATCGAAAATTTATGAGTGACATTCAAAAATAAAATAAATATAAAAATGACTTCTTTTCAGGACAATTCATAACATTTTACATCATTAGTACTTAACAAAATACAAAGAAATATGAGAGAGAGCAATTAAAGAATTATTAAATTATCTCACTTTGATTTTCAATAGTTAATATTAAAAGCATAAAGATATTGACATAAATATAAGTTTATGTATTGGACGTCACAAGATGGCAGCATTTTATTTTCAGACAGTTGTTTCGGCATCTTCTGATTCTATAATTTTTCCGAGATTCCAAACATTAGCATCTCGTCCTAAAATAAATATAACTCAAAATTATAAATCTAAAAGTTACCTAAAAATTGAATTATATCAAAAAAATAATTGAATTCGTCATTACTTTTCAATAATTTATAGAAAAATAAATTATAAATTTTTTACTTTAAAATATTCAATCTTAAATTTAACAAAAATCCAAAAAAATTCACAAAATATAACAAGAATATTTAATTAATATTGGATAATCAGATAAAAGTTTAAAATATTTCTTTAGTGTGAGAAGTTTGGCAATGCCATTAGTCAGACATAGCTACATGTAAGCCATCCATGTTTGTTACCATGGCTACTAGATAATATGACTGGGGAGCTGTTATTGTAATTACCTCTTGTTTTCACTCTAGAGACAACTGCTCCTGATAGAGCAGCCTTCCACTTGTTCGATAGGCAAAATTGGCGAGAGTTAAAAATGCACAAGTGCTAATGCAAACATGTTTTTGTGAAAAAGTTACTAGAAGTTTTAAAACGAACATTATCTGATGAAAATGATAATGAAATGGATATCTTTGATGATGGAATGTTCAAAAGTGAAGATAAATGAAGTGATGAAAAGGTTGAATTGAGTAATCATTAAAGTGACATTGAGACAAGTTCATCAGATAGCAGAGCAGATAAAGATGATATTAAATACAATGATTGCCAGTACTATAAGGACCTTGAATAAGTTCTAGCTGTTTTTTTGTGAAAATTAACACTTTATTTAAAAAAAGTCGTAATAAACACGTCACTGAAAGTATTGTCCATCACTAGCCACTACTTTCTCCCATCGTTCTGGCAGCACTTGAATTCCATGTCGGAAAAACGACACGTTTTTTGAAGCTATCCAAGAATCGACCCATTTTTTGGCATCTTCATAAGAACGAAAGTGCTGCTCAGTCAGGCCATGTTTCATCGATCGGAACAAGTGATAATCGGAAGGGGCGATGTCTGGTGAATATGGCAGGTGGGGTAGGACTTCCCATTTAAGCGTTTCCAAGTACGTTTTCACCGGTTGTGCAACATGTGGCCGAGCATTGTCATGTTGCAAAATCACTTTGTCGTGTCTCTGCTCATATAGCGGCCGTTTNCCATGTAATCTGTGTTAAAACAGTCCAGTTAAAGAAAGGAAAAAAAAAAGTAGGATAAAACTGTTAAATAGCTTTAAAATATATTAAGAAAGATTCTTCTTAAATATAAAAAATATATATTTCAGTTGGTTCTACAAACATTTTATCACTATCGTTATGATTAAATAATAATTATAACAATTCTTTCTACAAGGGACATCCAGCAAATAAAGAATGTTTGTGCATAGTACTCTGCACAAGTGAATGACCACTATCAATTCAAAGTCAATTTGTTCTCTGATGTATTAGCTTAGCATGTATAGCATTTTGATAATGGCAGGCTTACTGTTGTTACTGTTTTGTCAAGGGTTAAAATGTGTAGAAAAATCGAAAAGCCTGTCAAATGTGAAGTGCAAAGTGTTATTCATTTTCTAAATGTGAAGAAAGTTCATCCTATAGAAATTCATTAGCAAATCACAGAAGTGTATGATGATCACATTAAGAATGAAGTAATTATGAAAAAATGGCGTTTAATGTTTAATCAATGAAGATAACGTGATTGCACTCTGCTGCAGTCACTCAAGCTATTCTTCAGAAATTTGGCTGAAATGTTTTCAACTATCCATCATATAGTGCCAACCTGGTCCCCAGTAACTTTCACCTCCTTCCCAAACTGAGAGTTTTTGGTGGCAAATGTTTGGAATGGATGACGAGGTGAAAGAAACTGTCACCAACTGGCTGAAAGAACTGGTGACAGAAGTCTGACAGAGGAATCCAAAAACTAGTGTTACACTAGAACAAGTGCTTAAATCATAATGATAACTATGTAGAAAAATAAATGGACTTATACTAATTACTTAATAAAACTTTTTTCCTATCATTACTGTTTTTTTCCTTTTTTACAGCCAAATGTTCTTTATTCTCTGGATACCCCTCATATTTTTCAAAGATATTCCAAAAAATACAAGCTATATTTATTATTTAATAAACTCCATGTTCTTATTTATTTTCAAACGTTAATTGTTCAATGTATCTAAATAAATATAAGTGAAATATAATAATAAAATTTCATAAATTAAAAATAATGTGTAATTTTATAAAATTATTTCAATATATTTATTAAATCTTTCAAACTGTTTTATTTTAAAATACATAATAATAAACGGTGCTTATCAGAAAAATATGCATTATTATTGAAACAAATGATAATTATGTACAGTAATTTTATAATCAAAATAATAGAAAGCTAATAAATAATATATTTTTCTCTTTTTTTTTTTTTTAATAAATCTTGACTTTTTCAAGTAAGTCTGGTTTTTTCAAATGAAAATGGATAGTATACTTTGTATAAAATATCAATATATTAGAACATCACCAACTGATGCAGGTGTTTTAGTTATATAATTAAACAAAAAAAAAAATATTTTTTTTCAGTTAAATATACATGATTTTAATACATTGATAAGGCTACTTTGTTATTGGAATTTAAAAATCTTAATACTGTATATTTTTTAAAATTTAAATAAGACTTATTTTAATTTTATATATTTATTATATTTTACTTATATGAATAAATTTACAAATCTGATTATTCTAAATGTCAAATATTAAAAATTTTACCAAAAGTTATTGGAATTTAAATGAACTAATTAAATTACTTGAGGATTTAACATACAAACAGATGATTTTTCATACATTGTGATTTTAATCATATAAATTTTAAAAAATTGTGAAAATAGTTCAGAGAGGATTTCAATCCTCAACTGAAGCTCCAACATTGCTGGGTATGCTAACTAAACTTTTCAAATCAATCTTTTTAAAAGTACTTTAATATTATTAGTATACAATGGTTAAATTATAAGTAATTATAATTGTTACTTATTGCCATGTCAATCTGAAACTAACTTGTCATTCACAGAGCCTGAAACAGAATGTGACAAGCTTTAATTTACATATCTCACATATCTCAGCATGGCATATCATCAAATAATTTAATTAGTCCAATTATAATCTGATAATTTTAAACAAAATTATTGATATCTAGCTTTTTAATTACTATTATTAGAAAATAAATTAACTAATTATCAAAGAAATAAATAAATCAATTCAACAATCTTAAAGACAATAATAAAGCTGCTAAAATAAAGACAATAACTAAATAGTTGAATTTATAATTAAAAGACAAAATGCTTTAAAAATTAATTTTAGTTTAACTTATAAAAAACAAGTTGTTAAAAAAAAATATAATTCATGGTAATAGAAATTTGTATTTGTATACCTATCCAATTAAATAAATAATACAATTTAATAAAATATGTAATGAAATCATTTTAAAACAATCTCAATTATTGCATAACATTTTTTCTTTTCAAATGAAACCTGTTTGTGATTTTGAAACCTGAAACAAAATGGACATATAGTTCTTTGACTATTCAATGAAACAACAGTCAATTATCAAAAACAACTTAGATTGGAAACTGCCAATGTCAAAAAGTTAATATAGCTGCTGAGAAGACAATATACAGCTATTAAGTCCATCTAATCAACGTCAATAAGTTATTTTCCAAGTCTTTAGAGTGTTAAAAATTAACAAACAACCAAAAGCTGTTCCAGAATGTATGCCAAATATAGAAATGGCTCTTTGTGAAGACAGCCAATATAGATTGATTTTACAGTTCCAAAAATATATAGGGCAAGATTATTTTAATACTAGTGAATATTGCCAAAATAAGTGAAGTTCTTTAAGTTAATGAACAATGTATACAATCATTCAGTTTTTGATAGCTTAACAGGGTACAATATATAATATCATGTGAGAACTTGGCACTATTTATAAAATTGGCACTATGTGTAAGATAACTTTAGAACTTTGTAATCATAAAATATCTTTACAGAATGAACTGCAAATATTGGTAGTTAAAATTAATACAAAACAGTGTTACTGGCACATTTATGATGCTACCAGGAAATTGATGATGCTGTTTTGCAACAAACCATGAAAACAAAAAGATCTGAAATTATTAATATAGATTATTTTGAGCCTAGAAGAAAAACTAAAAGTATGTAACAAAATGTAACAGAAACTGATCAAATAAGTTCAAGTCCACACAATATACTCACAAAGTTCATTGTTATTAACAGATTGGTACTATATAATTCAGGCTCCTTTAATACATCATTAACAAAAATTGTGAAACTTATCTTTAATGTTAATCATGTTATGTTCTTGCACTTTCCAGAATAAGTTGTAGAATATGTATTGAAAAATAATAAAGTATTCTTTGTACAATCCAAATTGACATTTACTATGTTCATCTCTTTGTCTTGCAACTTGAAGATATAAGTCCTTAAAAAGTCTTTTAAACATTATCTTAGAGATAAAAAACAATGTCTAGACTTCAATAGCACAATAATTCCAGCAGCAATGAAGTAAATTTTTCAAGGAATCAATTAATAAATCATTGGATAGATGTATTATCATCAACAGAAATTTTGTTTAGTTATCATTGTTTGTCCACAAACATTATCAAACAGATTTCAATTGAATATTTAATTTCTATAAAATTTCAAAAAATTTTTATATGGAAATGGAAATTCCATATTAATATATTTCTGTATATAAAAAAAATAATTCATTTTAGTTGCCAATGAAAAATATAATAATATTGTGCAAATGAAAAGTAATGAGATTTTACTAAATTTAGCAGTTAAAATTTAAAAAAAAAATTAACATGGAAAATAACAAATTTATATCAAGAACAAATAAAAAAAAATATGATATAAAGAATTATAATGTTACATTTACTGATAAATAGCAGAAATAAACAAAAGACAATTAAAAGTAACATACTACATAATATTAAAACCAGGCTAACTATTCTGATTAACTAATTTCCTATTCATTAAATAATTTATTAGAATTTTTAAATTACATTTCAATACTTGCACTTAAAAAATTTTAACAAATATTTTTGTAAATAATTTTATTTTATATTGAATTAGTTAAATATTTTTAATAATTTTCTATATTTTTTATAATAAATTGTTAAAAGATATTTTATATATTTTTTAAAGAAACACTAAAGACCCAATTTGTTATTAACTACATTAATTATTTTATTGTTTTAAATAAGTAAATTTATTGCTATAATTTATATTTAAAAAACCTAGAATTCATTTATTTTGTATTTATTTTGTTAATATTGCATATAAAGACAAAGAATGAATAATATATTTTTTAATTAAATTAAATAAATGACTTACATAAGTATTTTCTCTCTTAAGAAAATATATTCAATATTAATAAATTTATATGACTTTGATTAAAAGAAAAAACTGAACATAAATAATAAATATAATAATAAATAAAAATTGTATTTAATTTGTAAAAAGAAAAATGTATATATTTGCAAAAATGTCATATAGCCGAAAGACTTTGTTCGAGTTTAGCTTGAGAAATCTGTTAACTTTATGCTAGGAAAGCACACAAAGAATAAAGACAGAAACTAATATATGTAGGAACTTCCTAAACTTTTCATATTCAAATGTAAACTATTAAGAACTAACCAGCAGTCTTAATAATGATGATTATTACACTGTATAAAATACAAAAATAGATGATCATTTGAAAATACATTATTGTTTTTCTTGACAAGAAATGCAATTATAAATAAATTTTAAAAAATATAATGCATATTATATGAATAAAAATCCTGTGAGCACTGTTAGAAATTTAATTAAAAGAAATAACTTTTATAATTCATTTTAAAAAGACATATTTTGGAAATATATTTCTTTAAATTACAATTCTTAGTAAAATTGATTTTTATTTAAATTTAGAAATTATTATATTTAGTTGTGTTTATTTTAGATTTAAGCCATTTGAAAATAAATAATTATTAAAAACTTTTTTCTCAAATCTAATTTTAAATTATCGAAAATTTATGAGTGACATTCAAAAATAAAATAAATATAAAAATGACTTCTTTTCAGGACAATTCATAACATTTTACATCATTAGTACTTAACAAAATACAAAGAAATATGAGAGAGAGCAATTAAAGAATTATTAAATTATCTCACTTTGATTTTCAATAGTTAATATTAAAAGCATAAAGATATTGACATAAATATAAGTTTATGTATTGGACGTCACAAGATGGCAGCATTTTATTTTCAGACAGTTGTTTCGGCATCTTCTGATTCTATAATTTTTCCGAGATTCCAAACATTAGCATCTCGTCCTAAAATAAATATAACTCAAAATTATAAATCTAAAAGTTACCTAAAAATTGAATTATATCAAAAAAATAATTGAATTCGTCATTACTTTTCAATAATTTATAGAAAAATAAATTATAAATTTTTTACTTTAAAATATTCAATCTTAAATTTAACAAAAATCCAAAAAAATTCACAAAATATAACAAGAATATTTAATTAATATTGGATAATCAGATAAAAGTTTAAAATATTTCTTTAGTGTGAGAAGTTTGGCAATGCCATTAGTCAGACATAGCTACATGTAAGCCATCCATGTTTGTTACCATGGCTACTAGATAATATGACTGGGGAGCTGTTATTGTAATTACCTCTTGTTTTCACTCTAGAGACAACTGCTCCTGATAGAGCAGCCTTCCACTTGTTCGATAGGCAAAATTGGCGAGAGTTAAAAATGCACAAGTGCTAATGCAAACATGTTTTTGTGAAAAAGTTACTAGAAGTTTTAAAACGAACATTATCTGATGAAAATGATAATGAAATGGATATCTTTGATGATGGAATGTTCAAAAGTGAAGATAAATGAAGTGATGAAAAGGTTGAATTGAGTAATCATTAAAGTGACATTGAGACAAGTTCATCAGATAGCAGAGCAGATAAAGATGATATTAAATACAATGATTGCCAGTACTATAAGGACCTTGAATAAGTTCTAGCTGTTTTTTTGTGAAAATTAACACTTTATTTAAAAAAAGTCGTAATAAACACGTCACTGAAAGTATTGTCCATCACTAGCCACTACTTTCTCCCATCGTTCTGGCAGCACTTGAATTCCATGTCGGAAAAACGACACGTTTTTTGAAGCTATCCAAGAATCGACCCATTTTTTGGCATCTTCATAAGAACGAAAGTGCTGCTCAGCCAGGCCATGTGACATCGATCGGAACAAGTGATAATCGGAAGGGGCGATGTCTGGTGAATATGGCGGGTGGGGTAGGACTTCCCATTTAAGCGTTTCCAAGTACGTTTTCACCGGTTGTGCAACATGTGGCCGAGCATTGTCATGTTGCAAAATCACTTTGTCGTGTCTCTGCTCATATAGCGGCCGTTTTTCCTTCAATGCTTGGCTCAAACGCATCAATTGTAGTCGATAGCGATCTCCCGTGATAGTTTCGTTTGGTTTGAGCAGCTCGTAATAAACTACACCTAGCTGATCCCACCAAATGCAGAGCAGAAGCTTCGAACCATGGATATTCGGCCTTGCTGACGATGTTGATGCATGACCGGGCTTACCCCACGATTTTCTACGCTTAGGGTTATCGTAGTGTATCCATTTTTCGTCACCCGTCACGATACGATGCAGAAAACCTTTCCTTTTCTGCCGTTGAAGCAGCTGTTCACATGTGAAAAGACGCCGTTCGACATCTCTCGGCTTCAACTCGTACGGCACCCAATGTCCTTGCTTTTGAATCATTCCTAATCCTTTTAAACGTTTCGAAACTGTTGTGTGATCAACTCCTAATGATTCTGCAAGTTCAGCTAGCGTCTGACATGAGTCTTCATGAAGTAATGCCTCTAATTCCTTGTCTTCAAACTTTTTTGGTGCACCAGATCGTTCTTTATCTTCAACATCAAAATCATTATTTTTGAAGCGTCTAAACCAATCTCTGCATGTTGTTTCCGACAGAGCATGGTCGCCGTAAGTCTCAACAAGAATTCTGTGTGCTTCAGCTGCAGATTTTTTTTGAATAAAATAGTGCAATAAAATTCCCCGCAAATACTCTTTTTTTGGCACGAAACTAGACATGTTTAACACAATGAAAAAATAAGTTGTTTACACTTCGGTGAAATGACATATACTGAATTTCAAGGTCACTTATTGTACTTCCTTACAGATGCGTCACCATCTAAAATTAGCCACATGTGGTTCTGGTAACGCCATCTGTTGGAAAACAGCGAGAACTTATTCAAGGTCCTTATATTTAGGTAGAGACAACAGTATGGAATAAAAAGCAGAATTTGAAAATGACCAAAACTAGACAAAAGAATATTGTAAAAATATTTCCTGGATTAAGGGGTGAAGCCAGAAACATTTCATCAGAAGCTGAATCTTTTTTCAAAATTTTGGATATGTACATAATAAACAAGATTTAAATTGCACTAATAAATATATCAACAATGTTTCCAGTAAATTTTGAAGAGAAAGAACATGCAGTGAACTATTTTTCATAATAATGAATATTGCATGAAAAAATGCAATAATAATTTTTGTGATGAACAATTCTGGACAGGATCAAGTAAGCAGAGGAATCTTTCTGAAAAACTTGTCTATACATTTAATGAAAGAGCATCTTACTTCAAAATCAGAACTTTTATGCCCTCCATACAATAGTTTATTGCAAACTATTCTACAGCACTGATCCTTTATACATAGTTCAGTAACAACAATTATGGGTAGATTTCCAGGAATTGTTGATGCATGTGTTGTCTTTATAAAATGAAGTCATTTTTAAGTTTTGTGACTGTGTAGTATGTGTGCATAATATATTCATTCATTTCCACTGTCCATTTCCTGTGTGAGCTTTGTTTTCCTGTCTCAGTGATCTATGGCATTGCCTTTGAAGCACTAGAGGCAGGGAGGGTCAAATGTTTCAACCCAGTCCTGTTTGATGTTGGGAGTATTGCAGTAGCCTTGAAGGAGGTGGTATTGCTTTTTCCACTGGTGATCCTGAGATACTTTGATAATTTTTTTTGTACCTGTGCTTTTATCTAATGCATGAACACAGACCTTGTTACCTTGGATGAAGTTCAAGCCAGTATGTGTTCCTTTTCTTGTCTGAACCATTGAATTTTGCTGAAGCTTGGAGTACTTCTTAGTCTGATTCCTACCTTGTACACCAGTGGCTTGGGATGCTCTACCAGAAGCTAAGCTACTGCTGGCATAGCTCTTGGGGTCATCAGGAAACACAAGTCTCACCATCATGTCAAGGTCATGTACTACAAAGGTGCAGTATTATTAAAAGCAATTTAGTTATGGTATTACACTGTCCAAACTTTAAAATTTTCTTATTATTTTTTACTAATGGAACACATTTAAAATGTAAATATTCAAATTAAATCAAACGTATGCCTGATGAAAGTTGTTACGAAGGATATGCGCATTTCGTGCATAGATAATGCCCATTATCTACGCACACATGTCCTTCGTAATGACTTTCATCAGACATACATTCAATTTAATTTGAATATTTATGTTCTAATTGTGTTCCATTAGTTATTCTGTACATTTCACCTGAAGAGGAACTATTTATTATTATTTTTTTTCTAATACTTCAGAAGCATTATTATTATTGATAAAAAACTACATAAACTTCAAGTTATTATAGAAAACATAATTTCTAATTACTGTTGTATTATTGATGTTATATAAGTATAATTTATCAGTAGGAAATTTTCAAAAGAAATTTTCATCATATCAGTGAAACTACTCATAGAAATATAGAAATTAAATTTTCATAATTTATTACTGGATAAGGTGGAGTGGGATATTTTTACAGATTTTCTATGTTAGAAAATTAAATATATCTGGATATCTAATAAAAATTTTAATTTTTACTTCATTAAAAAAATTTCAAATTCCTAATTTAAATTTTAATTTCTTGTAGATATATTTTTTTAAGCCAAAATGCATTAATTTGCATGTACTCATAAATTTAGCATATTCATAAACAATATATTTATATTATCATATACATGGTATATAGAAGTCTGTACATAAAAATGCAAAAAATGTTTCTTATTAATAACACATACCATCAAACTGTCTTGAGATCAAAGCATCCATTCCAGATCTACCTTCCTTTGGTTTTCCAAGAAGTTTTGTTGTTTCTGCAGCATCTTCAGTATGAGCTGAGCCATTACAAGATGCTTCAGTTACAAGCATTAATTTCTTTACAACATCTTTTCCTAATATATTGTCAAACACTGCTTGTAAAAACTGATCACCACATATGGTTAGTTTTAATTTATCTCTGTGCCACACCAAAAGACGACAATCTTCCATGGCTATAACTGTGACCTATCAATATTTTAATAAAAATTTATATTTCCTATTTCTTAAAACAAAATCATATTATAAATTTTGATTTAAGATATTTTCCTAATTTTGAAATTATTATTATAAAAAATGAATTAAATCAGAATGAAGAATTTACCTAATGATATATTCAAATTGATTTCTACATAAAGTTTACCTTTGCATCTCCATAACTAGAAAGAATTTTTCTAATATAAACTATATGCTTTCCAAAATGCTGCACACAACTGTTTGTATCTTGTATTGCTGCTGAAGACAGTCATTTTGAACATGTTCTCTAACAAAATAAAGTTCAGTTTTTTGTATCAATTTCTGTAATGTTGTCTTTATCCTTTAGAGTCAGAGATTACTTGTATGCTATGTTAAATCATCTAAAATTGATTCCCTTTTATTATTAGAATGTTGGAACAAGCATGCATTACTTGTGCAATAATGAAAATATCTCTTTTGCCCCTGAATAGATATTTAAGTGAACAGTATATGGAGGTATAACAAAAGTGTTATTAATACAAAAATTACTGAAAAGCAAAAAGACCTTTGAAAGGAATCTGTAGTAAAACTTTCATATTTCTCTCAGAGATTTGTTTGAATTCCAGTATTTAGAATAAATAAAAAATAGTAAAACTTTAAGAAATGTATAACCAGATTAAGGACACATTAATTACCGTATTTACCCAACTGCAAGCTGACATTTTTTAATTTTTTCATGGTTCAAAAAATATCCCTTGGCTTAGAATTGGTATTAGAGTCACCTACTTCACTGATCATTAATATGGCCAGTGAAGTAGGTGACACTATTTACTGACATAGTCAAAAGTTTGGAAAAACATTGCCAGAAGCCAACACAGATGAGTTTCCACAAATTTTGTATGTATTGTTGAGTAGGTGAAAATTGAGTTACCAAGTTCATGTTATTAAGCAGGCATTTTGGCTGTTGTTTTATAATGAAGCATGTCATTATACCAAGCATGGCCAACATACGGCCCATCTAATGAATTTATGTGGCCCGTGATTAATCTTTCAATATTAGCTACTCAAGTCTGAATAGCCCAATGAAAAATTCTGACACCTAAAAAAATAAAAAGGTCAACAACTCACTGTGCATTTAGAGTTAACCCTCCTTTACAAATCTCTTAAGTACAGTGTAGAATGTTGATAATGCATGATAATGTGAAAAATGTATCTGTAATCTCTATGTACAATTTTGTCTCTATGGGGTGACACCACAATGAGATCATCTAGGGCAGCCTCTGGTTCAGCCCGTGAAAAAAGTTTTCTTTTTAATTCGGCCCGGGGACAAAAACTGTTGGCCACCCCTGCATTATACTGTTGATTTTAAAAGGAAAGTGATTTTGTTTGCTGAGGAGACATCAAATCTTGCTGTGCAGAGGTGATATGGGATTAATGAAAGCAATATCAGACAGTGGAGAAAGCAGACACCAAATATTTGCATGCACCAACAAAAGATAGCCACCATGCAATGGAATTTGTTTTAAATGATTTCATGAAGAAACAGAATAAGAAATGTCTACCAGTGAATGCTGAAGTAATTCAAATTAAGGCTTATGAAATTGCTTGAGAGCAGAAAAACAACAATTTCAAGGCAAATTGGCATTGGGTTCAACTCTTCATGAAGTGCTGGGGTTTTCACTTCATGGACATACATCGAAAGAAGCGATTTCTCCACATTCTGTAAGGTAGCTCGTAGGAATCACCATCAACCGAAAAGCATTTCCTGTGTGCCTACGAGCTACCTTACAGAAAGCAGTGGCATAAGTTACATGCCCAGCTAGTATTCTTACTAAAGTGCAGAGGACATGGCATAGTCCCGAAGTGCATCACCATCAACCGAAAAGCATTTCCTGGACATACATCAACTGCATGGGAATTGCCAGAAAACTACGAAGAGAAATTGATAGAATTTCAGTGCTTCATAATAAGGTGGTGCACTGAAAATAACTATCTTCTCAGTCAGCTAGGAAATGCTGACTAAACTCCAGTGTATTTTGATATGTCAGCAAATTATACAGTAGGAAAAAGGGAAAGAAAGAAGTGAAAATACTGTCAACAAGAAGTGAAGAACAGTGCATGACTGTTATGATCACATGTACTGCTGATGGGCATAAAACTTCCTTCATTCATTGTGTTCAAAATGCAAGATATTGCCAAAGTCTGAGATAATTCCAAAAAGCATCATTGTATGCACAAACGAAAATTAATGGTTTACTGGAGACATGATGATGAAATGGGTTCAGTTGGTGTGGCAACATCACCCTGGTGCCTTGTTGAAGTTTCCTAGCCTCACTGTCTTTACAGGCCAGGCCATACAATAGAGAAGGTAAGAGAACATTAAAAGAGAAGAAAACAGATTTGGCTATTATTCCAGGCAGGATCATTTCAATTCTTCAACCTCTTGACATGTGCATCAATAAGCCACTCAAGAACAAATTGAGAAAAATGTACACAGACTGGCTCTCAAGAGAAGATCAAGTGTAAAGTGAGCTAAACTATCTCATGTGTGCATGTGGATTGACAATGTATGGAAGAGTACTTCTAGAGAAGTTGTTGCTGGTGTGTTTAAAACATGATCATAGCATGTGCGTAGGAGATGATTCTCTGTACAAAGATAGCAACAAAGAATCAGGTGACAATGACTCTGACTCAACTGAACAATTATATTGTGTAAAATTTATTCCTTATGCTTGATTAACAAATTTTCATTTATTTTTGTTTTCAATTTCCTGGAGTAGGCTTATAATTGAATAAATACAGTATAACAGTTTTTAACAAATTTGAATAGTATTTTTATTTACTTTTATATAATTGTTTGAAAGTACAGAAAAGACCATCAAGCAAAACTTGACACAGCATAATCAAAGATGATCTCCAAAATATTATTGTAATTTTCTGCCTATAATTCCAGGATTATGTTAAAAAATCTTCCAACAATTTTTCCACAATATCAAAAAATGACTCTGAAATCATTTCACTTTTTATTTATAAAGTTAAAATCTTAATTAATAGGTTGTTAATTTAAACTTTTGATATCCATACATATTTGTTTATATTTATAGATATCCTCTGAAGAGTCAAATATCTATTTATGATATTTATACTTCATTATCAACTTTAAATTTGCTTTTTCTCTGCTTGTAAAGGGGCAACAAATGTATTTGTTAATAATAAATAATAAATAATGAATTAATAATGCATATTGTTCAAATTTAGATTTTTTCAGAATAAAATTGGTGCGCTAAAAATGAATTTTGATATAGTTTATGTATTTAAATATTTTAAAGTTCATATTTACTAAACATCATCTTAATGTTGTAGGTTATTTTCTTTGAGTAAGTATAATTTATGCTGGATATTTCTGGTATATTTACATGTGTTGGACTTAATTAATCCAGTTTTACTGAATACATATTTGTTGTTATATTTAAATTTATTTCAATATAGAATTACCTATGCTACCAGAATATACAAAAGAAATGGTATGTGGCAATATTATCTTTGTGTACAAAAAATTGCACTTGCAGATATATAGGCAGAAAATTTATGGTAGTATTAAGTGGAAAGATAAAAATTCTGTTGCAAAAGACTGTAGAAAATGAAAAATTCTTCCTGCTCAATGTGCTGCCAATTTGCACAGCTAATAACAAACTAGTATTATTTTGTTTGTTTTAACTCATTTATAAAAACTTATAAGTTAACAAAGAAATGTGAAATGTTTGATTCTCTGAATGTAAATTCCAATTTATATAATAATCTATTATGAAATTATTATTCTTGAAATTAACCTAGTAAATGAATTGCAGTTAGNGTCAAATATTAAAAATTTTACCAAAAGTTATTGGAATTTAAATGAACTAATTAAATTACTTGAGGATTTAACATACAAACAGATGATTTTTCATACATTGTGATTTTAATCATATAAATTTTAAAAAATTGTGAAAATAGTTCAGAGAGGATTTCAATCCTCAACTGAAGCTCCAACATTGCTGGGTATGCTAACTAAACTTTTCAAATCAATCTTTTTAAAAGTACTTTAATATTATTAGTATACAATGGTTAAATTATAAGTAATTATAATTGTTACTTATTGCCATGTCAATCTGAAACTAACTTGTCATTCACAGAGCCTGAAACAGAATGTGACAAGCTTTAATTTACATATCTCACATATCTCAGCATGGCATATCATCAAATAATTTAATTAGTCCAATTATAATCTGATAATTTTAAACAAAATTATTGATATCTAGCTTTTTAATTACTATTATTAGAAAATAAATTAACTAATTATCAAAGAAATAAATAAATCAATTCAACAATCTTAAAGACAATAATAAAGCTGCTAAAATAAAGACAATAACTAAATAGTTGAATTTATAATTAAAAGACAAAATGCTTTAAAAATTAATTTTAGTTTAACTTATAAAAAACAAGTTGTTAAAAAAAAATATAATTCATGGTAATAGAAATTTGTATTTGTATACCTATCCAATTAAATAAATAATACAATTTAATAAAATATGTAATGAAATCATTTTAAAACAATCTCAATTATTGCATAACATTTTTTCTTTTCAAATGAAACCTGTTTGTGATTTTGAAACCTGAAACAAAATGGACATATAGTTCTTTGACTATTCAATGAAACAACAGTCAATTATCAAAAACAACTTAGATTGGAAACTGCCAATGTCAAAAAGTTAATATAGCTGCTGAGAAGACAATATACAGCTATTAAGTCCATCTAATCAACGTCAATAAGTTATTTTCCAAGTCTTTAGAGTGTTAAAAATTAACAAACAACCAAAAGCTGTTCCAGAATGTATGCCAAATATAGAAATGGCTCTTTGTGAAGACAGCCAATATAGATTGATTTTACAGTTCCAAAAATATATAGGGCAAGATTATTTTAATACTAGTGAATATTGCCAAAATAAGTGAAGTTCTTTAAGTTAATGAACAATGTATACAATCATTCAGTTTTTGATAGCTTAACAGGGTACAATATATAATATCATGTGAGAACTTGGCACTATTTATAAAATTGGCACTATGTGTAAGATAACTTTAGAACTTTGTAATCATAAAATATCTTTACAGAATGAACTGCAAATATTGGTAGTTAAAATTAATACAAAACAGTGTTACTGGCACA